GGCGTGATTATTGATGACACACTTAAGTTCAACTCTCACATTGACAATGTCATCAAGAAAATTGCCAAGAAGTATGGAATTCTATGTCGACTGAAAAACGATTTAACTATTGCCGGTAAAATACAGCTATACAAATCAATCATCTCTCCTCATCTAGACTTTTGCCCTTCCATTTTATTTCTGGCCAATGCAACACAAATATCGAAATTACAGCACTTGCAGAATAAAATAATGCGTTTGATTTTGAGATGTAATAGATTCACTTTCTCAACTTTGATGCTAGACGCCTTACAATGCACAGTGGGGATTTTGGCAGGAAAAAGGCTTGAAATTGTCTGCCGCTCAAACCACACATTGTAAGATATGACTTCCTTTTGGAAAAATGTCAAGAATTTTATTCTGCATATTTTCAATCGGCGCACGCGGTGATAAGTGCATGTGTGGAGCCTATTTTGCCCCAAAATACCGTATTTACTGTAGCTCTGTCCCAATATGATGCTTCACTGATTTAAATAGTCAGTACCTTTTATCAGAAATAGCCAATTTGTCTTCTAGTAGTCAACTTGTGCCTTTTAAAAACTATTGATAACATTTATAGGAGAGCATGGGGTCAAATAAGTCAGAGTTTGTAATAAAATATAAAAGTTTTCCGAATTTAAACTCAATATTAAAAAAAAAAAAAAATTGATGCTCAGAAAGTGGATTACAATAGTCTAAAGGACAAAAATGATTCAAATGCATGTTTTGAGCGTATTTGCACCAGTATTTAGGTTTTCTTGCGGTAAAAAGGAATCCAAGCATCAAATGTGCTTGTTTTTATACTGTGTACGGAAAAATAAATACATTTTTAGCGCCTGATTTACCCCAAAATTCTCTATCAATTGAAAGCATTTAAACTGGTTTATTGGCTTAATTAGACAATAAATTTCTTTGGAAATTTCCAAATATACCATTCAGAGTCCAGTAAGTGAGCTTTGATTAACTATTGGAAACATTTATAGGAGAATGTGGGGTCAAATAAGCCATTTGTCAAATATACAAGTTTGCTAATTTTGAATGGCATATTAAAAAATAAATATGTACGCTGAACAAAATACTCAGTAAATTAGTTGCAATAGTCTAAAAGACCAAAATTAGGCATGTTTAAGTATAATCCTTGTTTTGCATCGGTACCCTTGTTACTCGATTTATTTGTTAAATTACTTGAATTGTATGCCTTTTTTTAATGACGACCATTTTTTTTAATTTGGTTTGAAAATTTAACAAGTCAACATTACGGCCGTTTTACTAGTGCAGACACCAGCCATTTTATAATTTTACAGGTCTACTGATTTTGGTAGTGGTTTACGTAGGTATGAGAGCGACAACTAGTACTTTTCACTCTCTCTTTCTTACCAACGCAAATCTAGCCAAGCACGCTCAAGTCTGTACAGTTTTAATCGAACATAGGGGTAAGAGGGGCATAATGAGCGTCCCGCACTCCAGTTCCAAACTTCTAATTGTTCAAATTAAATTAATTTGTAGTAGGTTCAATATCACCATTGCAATGATTATTGAGCAATGAATTTGCTTCAAACCATAAGAAATCTATGGCTAAAGCACAGGAAGCTCACTATGCCCCACCTGTTCACTATGCCCCTCCTTCCCCTACACGTATGCTCAAATAGATGTGTCAACTATGCTTCAAATTATAAAAGTGTATGTGATGTCCGCATTGTTTACATCTATGCCGCTGAAAATTTAAAAACTTCTGTTTGATTTTTAGCCTTTGACTGGTTCGTCTCGAATAATCGTGAAGTGATTTATATGCTCTGTCTATATCTGAGCAGTGATAACCATCTTTGATTGGCAGTCTAAACATATTGCTAAACATATTGCAAATTTGATAGACTATTGCAACCAATTTTCTGCTTTCAATTGATAGAGGATTTGGGGTAAACCAGGCGCTAAAAATGTATTTATTTTTCCGTACACCGTATGAAAACAAGCCACATTTGATGCTTGGATTCATTTTTACCGCAAGAAAACCAAAATCTCGTGTTAGCATTTCAGCGGCAGAAACTGTTCAGTCATCAGAAATCTTTCAAAAAAAGTTAATTGTTTTGATATGAGATACCGGGGCAAAATACGCTCAAAACATGCATTTGAATCAGTTTCGTCCTTTAGACTATTGTAATCCACTTTCTGAGCATCTCTTTTTTAATTTTTTAGTATTAAGTTTAAATTCGGAAAACTTTTATATTTTATTACAAAATCTGGCTTATTTGTCCCCATGCTCTCCTATAAATGTTATCAATAGTATTTAAAAGGCACAAGCTGACTACTAGCAGACAAATTGGCTATTTCTGATAAAAGGTACTGATTATTTGAATCAGTGAAGTATCATAATGGGACAAAACTACAGAAAATACGGGATTTTGGGGCAAAATAGGTTCCACACATGCACTTATCACCGCGTGCGTCAATTGAATATATGCAGAATAAAATTCTTGACATTTTTCCCAAAAGAAGTCATATCTTACAATGTGTGGTTTGAGCGGCAGACAATTTCAAGCCTTTTTGCTGCCAAAATCCCCACTGTGCAATGGTTGTCGGTGAAGCAAAGAATTGTATATTTGACTATGGTGTTCATTTTTAAAGTAGTTAACGGTTTGCTGCCTCGATATTTGTGTGATCGAATTGAAAGAGGAAGTGACTTTCATAGATATAATACTAGAAACGCGGCTGAAATAAGAACACCACATTTCTTGACTTGTGCTTTACAAAATTCATTATATTATAAAGGAATACATGTTTTCAATTCGATGCCTAGACATATCAAACGTTCAGCGACACTTACAGAATTTAAAAGACACTGCATTCCACTCGTTAAAACTGTCTTTTGAACAGTTATCCAGTGATTTTTTTTATGAATTGACAAATTATGTATCTTGACGAAGTTATTTCTAACGGATTATTTTATATGGATAGCTGTCATAACGACTTTTTTAATAATTATTGTAGCACTGCAAAAACTATTTCTGTTCGCCACGAGGGTGATGATGGATTTTTAATATTTGATTTAATAGTAGTAGATTAAAAAAAAAGTAGTCTACAAAGGTTTGAGCCTCGCGTGCGTATTACGGATATAGAGGACTGAATTTAAAATTTGATAAAAAAAAATGCAATTTTGAAGCTTATTTGGAAGATACCTTGAGTTATTAGTAAGTTTTCTGGCAAATGTTGGGGGTTCGTGATCATTCCTGACATTGTTGAAAATTATGATAGCATCAGATTGCAGGGTTGCTAGTTTAATAGGATGCTTTGTTGATTGTTCATTAACTCTTGCTTGCTTGTAATACTTATGAATATTTTGAACGCCTGAGCTTTTCCACATTTATATCGCTGTGAAGCAACTGTAAACTCTAGACGGAATTTATATCTGTAACTGTAACCACCCAACTAACAATTTTAGCTGCAGATAAGCTTATACAGCCAAAATTTGCCTTATGCAGCTAATTTTTGCTTGTATAAGCTGGTCGGCAGCTAAAATTGTTTGTTGGGCAGTTCGACTTTGTTTGCAAACCTGGTCAAATTGTGATATTTAATTATCTTAAGGATAAATCGTCCAGCTCAAACCTTTGTAGGGGTAAGAGGTGGGACCATCATCATCATCATCATCAACATCGAAAAATATGTATTTTTTTTTTATTTTCTCGTTAGGGTGACCATTTCCATGTTAGGGTGGTCTAAAAAATCGATTTTTTCTATTTTTTTTTCAAAATCATAACTTTTGAACTACTGGCCCGATTTAAATGATCAAAATATCAAATGAAAGGTTATTAAAAGTTCTTTTCGGAAAAAATATAAAAAGTTGGAAATTTGTATAAAAGAACCTTGATTGTATTTGTTTTTTATGGTTTTCATGGTTTGTAGACAATGGGCGTAAAACGTTTTTATATTTTTCTTTGAAAATTGAGGCTTTTCTTCACAATATATCAAAAAATCAACGTTATAGTTTTCTTCGTTTTTAAGTTACGATTTTTTGAAATTATCACGTTTAGAAATGTCGCTCATTACCCCAATACGACTAGATTACCCTGCGTCTCCATTGATACATATCGAATGTAACATGGTTACATTACTTACTTATTTCAATTTCTGATCCTAGACAGTTTGACACACGATTGAAATGAAAATAAACCGACCCTTTTTACTAATACACTTTCCGTATCTCATCTGGTTTTCGTTCTCAGATTCCAACCGTTGTTCGATCATCATTTGGCATCGCTCTTCCTGGCGTCCGCAAGAGTAAAGACAAACACACAGAGTGTGCGAAAACTTGCGGAAGCATCGACAAGCCAGAAGCCAGAAGCCAAGGTTCTTCGAGTGAATGTGAAAAGTGAAGAAAGAACGCATCTCGGTCCTCTCATTGTGAGTGGGTTTGCATCGCAGTGTGCACATATGGTGGCTGATGAAAAACCATAAAACAGGAAGAAAGATATGTGTGTCGAGTCGATGATAATATGTTTTATGTAACGAGATCGAAATTGTGCACATATGTATGTCATCAACAATAGCGCCAAATAGCAGCCGAGAAAGTAAACACATGCACCGGGCAGTGGTGGTGACGCGTGTTGAATTAGTAATTTTTCGCCGATAGTGGATTCAATGAGAATGAATGAAACCGATTCGTAAATGCTGAAGACGGAAAGGTTCCCTACGCGGCTGTGCTATGTGTGTGTGTGACCTGGTTTACATAGTCTAGCGGTGATCTTGGTCGGTGTGTCATCACGGGTCAATTGGGGCCGATCGCAATCATCGTTTCTGTCAGACAGCGTGTGCGATGATGCGTTCGATGCTGCTGCTCGTAGATTGATTCAATGCAAAAAATATGTTCATTCACGAGTTGTTTAATGCCACGATTAAAAATAGTTTGACGGCGGCATCGCGTTAATGTGCGTTTATGTCAATGTGTAACGAAAGTATAAAATTAGGATTTTTGTTTGGTTGTTGAGCTGAATCTAGCGGCTTCGGTGTGGGTTGACGGGATCGAATCTCGGAACGGCTGGCAGAACAGGAAAATTAATTTCGGTGCGAAAAGCGAAAATCATCAACGAAAATCAACACAACACTCTGGGCAGCACATCATCCGAGAGGGGATTACGCTGCAAGAATGTCGATATCGAATGGAAAAACATCCTCTGACATTGAGAATGCCGAATGGAACTCGACCGGGATGCTGACCCATACCAGGTACGAAGAAGATACACGTATAATATGTGATGTAATTCATTTCCAGCTGAGGTATTGATTTTATGATAGGCTATGTAGCTGAAGAATTTAAAGAACATCTTTATATATTATGAGGGTGTCAGGTGTCATATCCAGGGACAGAGAACCGCACAAAGCACAGACGGGTAAACTCAATTCTGTATGTTTGCACGTTCAAAACGGAAGAGAGACGTGCAGCGTACATTTGTTATGAGTCGGTGCTTATACATAAGTGCGCACATGCAGAATGTGCACACTAGGGTGGGTCAAGTTTGTATGGCTCATCACAACCCCTTGCTCCTCCCCACTGCTCTTTCGATGTATTTTGATCCCCAACAACTGTGCCAGAAAAGAACGAATTTGGTTGCGATTTGAATTTGCGGGACTATTATTTATAAAATTAGCAGTGTTAGCAAGTTAAAATGTTACTAACTCGTTCGACATCTCTGAAGCTCTCTGAACCTCTTCAAAGCTGTATGAACCGCTTCAAAGTTTGAAGTTCACACTCTTAGGCACTTTTAAGATCTTCGAAATCCGCTGAACCTATCAGTAGTTCAAAGAACCTCAGAGAAGTTTGGTGATCTCCAGAGAAGTCTTGCAAATTTGAGGTCAAAAATCCTGAATTTCAAAGATCAATGGATTTCACAGCTACTTAGCGAAATTTTGCGAAACACGGGTAACATTATTGTAGCTTAGGGAATATCAAAAGGACTCAGGGATCACCTCAGATATATTTAGGAACTCCAGGATGACTCTTTACAGACGTTTAAGGATCAATTAACTTTGATACATTTTCGAAAAATTCAACTGAAAATTCAACTTTTCTGAATAAATCGTAACTCGTGACATCCTAGCCATTTGTGCATAAATTTATAAATTCTTTAAAATGCAGTTTTGATATCGTTCAATTTGAATGGATAAGAAATCGATCGTTAGCGCGGATTTCGCACGGTTTTGATTTAAGATTTTCCCAGATTAGGTTTGTCCATAAATAAGGAAATGGCTAATGTGCCTTGAACATGAAAGCTATAAAATTCTACTCTAACGGTTTTGTCAGCACAGTATCTTTTACTAGATAATTTTAACTTTTAAAGTGTGCATAATATGCTTCATCTATGCCGAGATCATGCCGTTGAATAAATACTGGAAAACAAATAGCCAGTTTTCATTTGTGCATAATATTCAACGCAGTAGCCATATCTTCATTTACACAGTTAAATAGTATACGAGCATACATTTTCATTTATCGTCTCCGTTAGGGATGTGGCTAAGAAGCTGCACCTAAGCCGAAGTTTTGTCCAGAAGGCAAAAACTAAGGCTGGGCTTCGAACGTTCAAGGTACAAAAGGCCCCTAATCGCGACGAGAAGCAGAACAAGTCCGCCAAAACCCGTGCCAGGAAGTTGTACCTCAACATGCTGACGAAAGTTGAATGCTGCATCATGGACGACGAAACATATGTGAAGGCCGACTTCAAACAGATCCCCGGCAACCTGTTTTTCACGGCCAAGGATAAGTTCAGCGTTCCGGAGCATGTCCGCACTCAGAAGATGTCCAAATTTGCGAAGAAATTCCTGGTTTGGCAAGCCATCTGTACGTGCGGGAAGCGGAGTGCACCTTTCGTGACCCAGGACACGATGAACGGACAGGTGTACATAAAAGAGTGCCTCCAGAAGCGGCTGCTTCCTCTCCTGAAGGCCCACAACGTCCCAACAATCTTCTGGCCGGATTTGGCCTCATGCCACTACTCCAAGGACGTGCTGAAGTGGTATGCGGACAATAAGGTCAATTTCGTGCCGAAAATGTTCAACCCTCCCAACACTCCGGAGCTCCGCCCCATCGAGAAGTACTGGGCGATTATGAAGCAGCACCTTCTTAAACGACCTAAGGTAGTGAAGACAGTCGAGGAACTAAAGAAAGTATGGGTTTACATGCAAAAAACGGTTGATTCACAGGTTGTGCAGAATCTTATGGCCGGGGTTAAGGCCAAGGTGCGGGCATTTGCGTATGGACTGTAAATAAAATACGAGTAAAATGGTAAAATGAAGTTTAATAGTTATTTCTCAATCTCTGAAAATTTGATGGCAATCGGATGAAAACTCGAATTTTGCGAATCAATTTTGTGTGTGGCAATTTCATCGTGGACACCCTTTAGATCTCCCAAGAGTGAAGAGGATTCCAGGGATATTGAAAAATACCAAGGAACGCGAATTTTGAGGGTACAATTCCAACATAATTATGCGAAGATCTATAAGGATAGTCCGAGTATATTCCAAGCGCATTTAGGAAGGAATTTCTAGAGAATGTTAATGAGGATTCCATGCATGTTCAGAAGAATTTAGAGGAGCATTCCAAGATAATTCTGAGCAAAATTTGAAGACAGTTCTCGGCGGGAGAATTTTCCCTGCCAGATGGTGTTGGCAGGGAAGGGGGATTACAAGTTTTGCTCACAAAAGCTAATATGCCCTGCTCAGTTGTTGGTCTGAGGTGAATTCTACGGAGAATTTCATGCAAATTTTTAAAAATTGTAACTCCAGTGAATTCTTAGAAAGAGATTAAAATTCGAAGCAAGGATGACTTTTCAGAATTTGTTAGAGTGTTCTACAGAGAATTTCTGTACTATTATATAAACAATTTCAAGGGATTTCCAGAGAGAATTCCAGAGAACGAATTCTGGAGAGATCTCTGTGAAAGCAAATTAATTTAAAGGAAAGGCTTGAGAACAATCAAATGAAAGCATGTAAAGTTTTGAACGAAATTTTCGTACACAAATTGTGAAGACTTCGAACCTGTCGCAGATCCAAATTCAAGATCCAGCAAAGGTGCTGCTGTTACCCATTAAACCTTCGGCTTCATCGCTTTCAGTTTTGTGCTTAAATAAAATACCAAAACCGCGCTAATTTCCAAAATTCCGGGAGAAAAACGGGAAAATTGCTAATCGAGATTTGCTGGTCACCTTGAAGATGATTTGGAGATTTGGATGAATTTATGCCCCTTGGGTAGAATGCGGATCCTTTCCGTTTTGGCAACATGAAATTTCTGTCTTTTTTGCAATCTATCAAATGTATGGAATGCTTTATTTAATTTGAAATTGTACTGGACCGCTCTTCACGTGTGGTATTTTTGAAAAAAATGTACATGAAGCACTAATATATTCTGAGGAAAGTTATAGCTGATTGGGTTGTGTTGCCAAAACCGGGTAGGTACTGCACCTGGATTTTTTTTTTGAAAATTACTGGCAAATCAGGGAATATCAGCGAATTTTGTTTTCTTCGTTGAGTCGACACCCTGTATCACGACTAGGGTTCGGTGGTAGATCTTACACCAGTAACGTACCATAAAAAGGTGATCTCCCAACGTTACTGGTTTGAAAAAAATAAAAAATTACAAAATGGAACGAACTCACCAAGTTTAGCCCATTGAACCTGAAGGCTGCTTGACATGTGTTGATGTAGAAGTCCAAATTGTAGACGAAGCTTGACGAAGTTCAACATGAACTAGTCCAGTTTATGGTAGTTGCGCCGAATGTGTTCCATCCATTTGAGAAAAACAAAATGTTCGGATGTATGTAGTCAATTTTTGATGTGCTCTGGCAAACCTTTTCGTGGCCAATAGTCAGGTTCAACGCTGCAACTCAACGAATGATGGAACTAATGATGGGACGACTCGTGGAGGTTCTATTTGGCTTCGGAATAGCTTCTCAGCGGCAAATAATAGGGACCTAGAATAAGGAACTAGAAATTGTCTCTTGGGCTTGGTTTTGGCTAGATCAGCAACCGATTATAGATTAAAAAAAATGCACGGAAAAAACAAACGTCAGGTTCGATCACACGCACAGCCTACTCTCCGCTTCATGGAAACTCCAGCGTTTATATGGCCATGAACACAAAAAAAGGTACCTATTTTAACAATGTTTTCCAACGATTCAAGAGATTACATCGGTTCAGAGTAATTGGAAAGGTATAATTCTAAGAACTGTTTCCGAAAAGCCAAAACTGTAGCAGCTCAGAAAGCTCATCAAAATAAACACTCGCGAGTGGCGTCCGTTCTGGATTTAATCACAAACCCACACAGCCCAGTCAAACCTTGGTTTCCAATTTCTTATTCCCACCAACCGCATCACTGCAAATTCAATTAGGCAGCGGGTGGCGATGGTCGGCGGGTTGTGGAGCTGCTTATAGCAAAATAAGATAATCAATTCACGACGTTGCTGCTTTGCGATGATGATGATGATGATGTTGATAGGTTCAATGCCTTCTACAAAGAAGCCAACAGCAGCAGTGAAGTCTTTTCTCCCCGTCGCGGTCGTCTGGGTCCGATGCGTATTAGTTTAGAGTGGATGACTTGGCTAAGCGAAGTGAAGACTTGAACAGTCAGTCAGCACAAACAAACATGAAGAGGGAGTACCATGATGATATCCAATCCATTCACAAGTTTGTTTGTGATTTGCAAACGATTGTATTGATTTAAAATGCATCGTATCGAAATGATTATGATCGTCATCCAGCAATATAAGCCAGCTTTTCAACTTATCGGTGTGCAGCTCTTGCCGACGAGTTGGTACCAACCTTGAAGCGTGAATTGCTTGAAATCCAAGTGGAGGCCTTTGTTGTTAATGCCGGCGCTGCGCTGCACTTTGGATCGACGGGAAATTACCGATAGAAAGGTTTCGCCGCTTGCATGTGCCTACCTGGTAAACCTGCAAACCGGTAGGCCAAGTAGACAGTAGCTATCACCTCTAGCCGGTTTCCACCGGGTCCGTCCGTTGAACTTGTTCGATGATTTTCCTTTAGTTTCGCCATTTGGGCTCGTACATTTTGACACCTGGCCCGGATAATCGTTCCTCTGGGGTTCCTTCACTTCGACATGTAATCCACGCCGAGCAAGGCGTCGCTCACATAAGTTTGCATCCGCGTAACCTCTTTCTCTAGATGGCGGTGATGACGACGAAGACGACATCGAGGCTTTGTTATCCAAAACTGAA